AAAAAATATGCACCTAATGCTTCTCATATTATGTCTCGCTTCGCCACTTTGAGAGAACCATCGCGTTGAGAAATCCCACCCAGTCTCAGCTGCAGAGGCAACTTCAGACCACATTCGCACCTTGTCTTCTAAACATAGTAAGGTTGTTCTTCATATTTTAAAAGATTGAAAGAGAGAAATGAACTCTGGAAAACACTGATAAGGATTGCAGTCTTATATCATTAACAACAATCTATTTTCAAGAGAAAACAAGAATAAGATTTAAGATTCAACATACCATTTTTCGTAAGATGGTGAACAAGTTCGAAATCTTCGCGATATGATTCTGGTCGTGGCATTTGTAGTCTTGCTTTGTACTGGTAGTAGGGGAACTTTTCTTTTCCATCTTCACCAAAGTACATGCTAGACCTTTTGTTTATCCAAAACAGGAATTCCTTCTCAAGAGTCGGCAAAACCTCCTAAGAATTTTAGACTTGACCACTGTTGCAATTGAACAAACGTATGAGATGACACAAAAAGAAGTAACCATTGATTTTACAAACAAAAAATTTTGCAACACGATAACAACTGACCATTACAAAATCTAGATCGCCGGTGCCGAGAAAATAGTCGTAAACCATAGGTATAAGTAGCGGTGGCTGCGAACGTGTCAGGTAATACACCCGGCCACCATTGGGCACAAATCCATGACTAGATTATAGCTCATTTTGGAGCAAATAAAAACATGTACATTAAAAAACTCAAAAGGTCACACTCACTTGTCGACCATATAAGCAAGATTTTTTATGATTCCTCTGGCTGTTTCATACATTTGAGAAAAAATGAGACCCTTGAGAATCCAGAAAGAATCCCTTAATATATATCGCATCAACCAATGCATAATAAAATTGAACTTGTGAGACATCAAACGCCCTACCAGCGAAAAAACATAAATGAATATTGTTCAGAATGTCATGAATATTCATTATAAAGAATTATGTTATGTCTTCAAAAATAGGTAAAGAAGACTAACCAGTAATAAAACTCTCGAAATCGTCCACCAGGAATGATAAATGGATGAGGCACATATAAAAGAGAATAATGGTCTTGATGTCTACGAACATCATCCCGTACCTGTAATTCGTGCAGATAATAATCACTTACGATAGACTAGTGAAAGAGATGAACGAACCCGTCTACAAAGATCTCTCCAAATACGATGCAGGTGGAGTGCCCACCGTCGGTGGTGGTAATCATGTATGCTTAAAAATGTTGAAGGGAAATCGACCCAATCCCGAGGATACCATTCCACAAGCTCTGTGCCTGGCGGATTGAAATGCGAGTTCACAAATTCTCGCAGTACAGCAATATCGTTTGCTTTGTCTCCCAGCTCGTCGAAGTTTCTCAATGTTGCAACTGAAGTTTAGAAGCTATATTTGAAGAAGACGAGTTTCCTTGAGATATCCACAATGATAACATAATAGCGTTGATTTGATCAAATCCTGTATTAAAATCTGTAACACTTTAAGGTCAAGCCATTGATAAGCGCATCAACTTTGCTTTTCAAAAAGAAGAAATTAGTAAATCTCCTACGATACTAGTCTCAAAAGATCATTCACTTGCGAAACAAAGATACGAGAAGGACGACAACTTTCACTGGTTTCCCGACAAGAAGTCTTCAGGTTTTCCCTCAGAAGCAGTCAGATTGTGGATTTCCAAGAACGACCCCCTTTTACAATCAAGAATTCAGCGCATAGAAGTTCGCCTAAGCCAATAGTCTGTAATAAAACGTCTCTGCATGTCATATTACCATAAACTCCTTCAATGTGCCATTACGTGCATGAATCACTTCCACTACAGAAAAAATCCCGCAAAGAGGAATAAAACGTAGTAGTTAAAATAATTGACCGATAATTGGCGCACAATGCAGTAATTTTAAAATTTTCACTGAAGATTATAAGTTAACTTAGGGATAGCACATTTGACTATTTTAGGTGTAAACAACATTAGTTCCTTCCCAAATAAACATTTGTCAATTGAGATCTCATCCAGAAAGCGACAGTCTCAGACAGATGCTTCAGTCATGAGACATTGGAAATTAATGAGTGATGAAGATTACACTCTGATTTTCTGATCTCACATGTATTCAATCAAAGCAATTTTTTTCAAATCGTTCTACTGCATATAACTGCATCAAAGTGCAGAATATTTTGTTTCATCAACGCGTTCCTTGCGTGCGTATTTCGCATGTGTCTCACCAAAAATGAGACTGTTGTCACCATTGAGGGTGACGCACCTACAGGCTGAATCATGCTACACTTTAGTTTCTGAAATGATGAGAGGAGCACGTGGAGAACTGGCCAGCGCCGTTGATCAAAAACCAACTTCAATAATGCCATTTTGATCGAAGTTTG